TATGGTTTTTGATTACTGCACTCTGCAAACCATGCATGGGAGAGTGTATGCCACCTCCCACAAAAGGCAGATAAAATCATTCCCCAAACTATCGATATCACAATACAAACCTGCTGATGGGAAAAGCTGACAAACCAGTTTGGGTTGTGGGGGCAGAAAATGACACCTAGAAAGTGGAGCCCAGTTCTGAGAAACAGCATTGAGGGGGGCCTCTGTGAGAGGGGATTAGAGCTACCAGGAGCATGGGACCTACAGGGAATCAAAACAGCTCCTTCCAAGAGTCTTGGTCAGTCAAGCTGTCTTTCCCAAAGGGAATGGGGTACTGGGACATCACAACCATGAGCCCAGTGCTGCTGATCAGAGTGAACACAGAACCCCAGATATGTGAGCATAGCCTGAATTGTTTCTCCTCATCATAGAAGAGCTGGTTTTGCTTTTGCTGTTTTTTGCCATTCATGTCCAGCTGTGGCCAGAGGCAGAATACAGGCGTCCCAGAGATCTGTGCCCACCCTGCCTTGCCACCCCATGCTCTTCATGTTTGATTTAAGCCACCAAAGTAAGTCCCAGCCAATTCAGAGAAATGATCCAAGTGGTTATTTTAGGTACATCATGCTCCTCTCACCCCCATATGAAGGAGAGCCCAGGGGGTGATGGTGCACATAGGGCTAGTGGTGGTTGGGCCTTTCCACAGCTACATCTCTGATGATGACACCAGAAAACAGAGAAGTCATCTGAAGAGACCCTCAGTACAACCAAACCCAGAATTTTTTCTTTATTCTGTACCCAAAGCCATAGCTTTTTTCTTTGTTTTGTATATTTATTTTTTTTTCCAGCAGCAAAGCCAAGGTTGGATACCACAATCACAATACACAAAGGAAGCACAGAGGGCTTGGCTGAAGTCATGGCCATGACTGGCATGGGATGGAAATCAGTGGAAAGAAATGGGTATGAACAATGGCTCTCAGATTTACAGGGGCTACAGCTCCCTGTCACAGTCCCCTTCTCTACCCTGGCTCTGTAGGAAATGGGGGAACGCCAGCCCATAGTTTTAGCTGGGCTGGATTTGTGCTTACCCCAGTTAAATAGGCAGTACTTCACCTTGGTACTGAGCCATCCCAGAGGCAGCTGGCCAGCAGGAGGAGTGGAAATGTTCCCACCCAGCTGCTTTGGCCATCCCTGGCTCAGGTGGCTGGCAAGGAGGGCACCCACTTCTCCCTGGTGCCTTTCCTTTCCCCACAAGTCTCCTCATACTCAGCTCCTGCTCCCTGGCAATTTGAGCAAACCTCTGTTTGTCTGCAAATGAGTCACCTTCCCACCTTTTCTTTAGCAGCCAAATTCATCCCTGAGGCAGGTGGAGGATTTGTGGAGGGACAGGATGGGATCACAGCATTAAGAAACAATATCAGAACTCAGGAGGTCCAGCAGATGCTTTAATTGAGGTGATATAAGTAACTTCAGTTTGTCCTTGATGGCCTGGTTTTGGATGACCCTACTAACCATTTTCTCACTTACAGCACTATTCCAGCATTGCCTTCTATGAAATCCTCATGGAGAAGCCATCACACATCTTCCAGGCCATTCTCTTATGTGTGCTGTTCCATACTCAGCAGAGCAATTAAACAAAACATTTTATGAGCTGAAGAAGCCCAAATGTGGGTCACAGCATAATGTATAGCATCACCACATGTAGTATCTCTTGAATCAGTGGTTGAGTTTATTGGCTTTACACTGAGTTCTCCCTTCTGCAGGGCTGGCTGTGCTGGAGCCTTCTTGCTTCCTTCAGCCACTGCAGCTGGAGGGAAGGGTGCACTACAGGTCCAGCAGTTTACCTGTGTAGATCAAATTACACAAATAGGATGGAGCCAAATGAAGGAGAATTTGCAAATTGCATGGCATTCCCCAAAGGTGTAATCTTGCAGTAGGCAGAGAGTAAACGCTGGCTCCTGGTAGATTGCCCAGGGGGGCAGCAAACCCCGTCATACTGAAATAGATGAGATGATACTTGCTGTGACATTTAAATGCAAAGTTGCAGAGAGACAGCATGATTAAGCTTTTGAAAGTATCATCTGTATTTATTGCTTTGGTTTGTGGTGTTTATTTGTAGATAATCTCATCTGCTTGTGTTTTTTAATATAATTTCTAGGGCACGTAAAAGCTCTTTGCCTAAAATGTGGCACGTAGGAGGAACCTGCATGGAGAGGTTGCACCTAGGAGTAATGAGTTAAATAAATCAGTTTTTTTACTTCAGGCAGGTCATAAAGCAGTTTTTGTTAAAAAAATAATTTAAAAATGCATCTTCTCTGAAGTTTGCAAACCCAAAGTACTTCAGGGCAGGTGTTATGTGTGTAAACAGGCAGCAGAGTTGTACTGCACTGAAGGAAGCATCAGAAAATCAAAGTATTGGTTTTCTATTGCTAATGTAAATTCCACTTAGTCAGCATGGCACCAACTACATTCACTAGGAAGAAAACCTAGAGGTCTCCAAGACGCTCCTGTCTAAACATTTTGTTTCTAAGTGCAGATAAAGCAAAAATAATCATGGTACTGAAGAAATGGATGCTGTGGCACAGAGGTGGAAGGAAAATCTGTCACCTGAGTGGCACATGCCAAAGCCCTCCATCTCCTGCAGATGCCTGGCTTCAAAAGCATTTGCCAGGGCTGAGGCTGCAGCCAGACTGAATGACTTGGAAGGGATTTGCACCCAACAAACCCTCCCAGGCCAAGAGGCACAGTAGGTGTTTGGTGCTCTCGGACAAGTGGCTTTGTAATTACCATACCAAGCAACTGCCTGAATCTCAGCTCAGTTCCCTATGGCAATTCCACTGACATGATATTTTTGTTATTTTGCAGCTGTTATTTTTGGCTCTTAATGGTGAATCTGAGTGTGTGCATGTTCCTCTGAGGTGTGTGCATGGATTGCTGTCTGGAGGTTGGGTGCTGTGGTCTCCCTGCTGGAAATCCACCCCCACTCCCACCAAAATGGGAAGTGGACAGGAACTTTCTTCACTACTTTGCCACCTGCCCAGTGAGTTACAGCAATAAATCTGTGTCTTGTTTGCCATAAAACATCTCTGCTTGATTCTGCACTTTGTGTGTTATCATGTAGGGGCAAAAATCCCTCTCCTGGGATGTTCTGCTTCTGTGCCACCTTCCCTTCCAGCCCTCCCACAATGGGTGGTGGCATCCCCATGTGCCAGGGCAGAAAGCCATGGCAGAGCAGGGATCCCCTTGATGTGGTCCTGTCCGCTGCTGCTTCCTGTGGGCACAGGAGAGGCACCAGAACTGCCACGACCAGAGCAGTCAGGGCATTTCTGCCCTCGCTCTCCCAAGGTGCCCATCAACAGCAGAGTATCATGAAAGTGTTTGAAGTTTCTCTTACACTTAATTCACATAAAAGCTTCTTTTTATTTTCTAGTCCACATGAAAACTATGGGGCTGGCAGTCTCTTTTCCATGCTGTTGGCTGTCAAGGAGCCTGTGGATTATTCAAATCATTCAGTGAATTTTTTTACATCATTTTAACTGAGAGAAGTTGGTTTCCCACTACATTTCCTGTGCTTTCCCTAACTTCTGGAAAAATGTTTAATGTCAAAGTATATGTGAGGATAAACTTAGAAAAGGCAGATTAGGCAAAAATGTACCTGAAGTACTTCATATAGGAACTGTGAGCCATGGCCTTAACTTGGGAAAAATAGAATTTACAAAGGCTGGGGAGTCGCTCCTGGTGATAGTGCTGAGCTGTGGCATACATGTCATGCTAAAATAAACAGGTTGTACAGACAAATTTGAAAAGACAAAGCACTTTTTTTTTCTGTTGATTGTATCTTTCAGAAAATTTCCCTTCAGGAAGTAGTACTAGAGTCAGTGAAGCCTCTTATTTAAAACTGCAAACATAATGCAGGTTAGCAGCATTTTCCTATTCCTACTCTCCCCCCATCCCTCCCCAGTTGTGTTCATTGCTTCTTTGGGCACTTGGTGAAAACGTAATTGCTAGGAAGTCCCATTCATTTTCTTATCTTTGAGTGGTTTCCCGATGACTGGGGTCACCCTGACACTGGTGGCTTGGTTTCAGGAAATTCAGGTGGAAATAATCCTTAGCTGAAGATGTTGGTTTCTGCCCTTATGCTTTAAGGCACCTACTGCCATTCACCCAGGCCAAGGCTGAGGCCTAAGAGCCTTTGCCACTGAGAAGAACCAGAGCTGGGATATTCTGGGCTCTGTCCTTTTCTGTGCAGATATCCAGACTCCTCAGCAGGCAGTGTTAGAGGTGTGTGATGTAATGTGAGGGGCTCAGCTGCACCATCTTCAGGGGCAAAGGCCCTGGTCCATCAGCCAGCCCCAGGCCCCGTCTACACAAGCCAGCTCTGCTTACACCCCTCCCTTATCAACTTCTCCTTACCCCTGCAAAATAAAGGGAGTCCTGTACCCTGGAAGACAGCATGCAATGTTCTTAGGCTCATTTAAGCATTTGTCAAACAGAAAGGTCCTGATGTTACAGAAATTAACTTTCTTTCATGGTGGATTAAAGAATCTTCCTCTGAAATTGTGCTTTGGTCATATTTGCTGAGAAGGGTCAGTCCATCACTGCTGATTGCAATGATTTAATTGCAAGTCCAGATTCTGCTTGTGGACTCCTACCAAGAATTCAAGGTATCCCCTGACTTGCTTACAAAGAAACAGGGCCCTAGGAATTCCCTCCCTCAGGGCTTGTATGGCTACAGAAGCAGCAAGGCATGGTTTGTGCAACCTCAGGACTCTTGATGATCAGGCCACCCTTCTGGCTTTCCATTGTCTCTCCCACTGAGGAGCAGGTTCCCTGGGGCTGCCAAGCTGCACGGCTCTTGTCACACCAAAGGAAAGAGCTTCAGGAAGAACCTGGAGCAGGGCAGGCAAAGCTCAGCATCCACACTAAATCTCTGTGACACTTAGGTTCCATTTTCCCATTTGCAGACACTGCCATGAACAATCAGAACATAACACACTGAGCAGAGAACTCATTCATCTGGTAAGAGATGGGCCTTTGCTTTATTATGAAGCAAAATTGACTTGGGGAAGATTCTGTCTCTGAACAGCCAGTTCGGTTACCTGGTAGAGAAAGCTGTAAAAGTTCTCTTTGAAGCTTGTCAATTTTGGGTAGATTAGGTGGTAGCAAGGGGTACCTTCAATCAAAGTAACTCACATCAGTGCTGACCTTGCCAGAGGTGGAGAGCAAGCCATATTCCCCAGGCAGAGCTGCAGCTATTCCAGACAATCTGCAACTTGTGCAACTTTTCACACAGGCCATGCACAAAGAATATCACAACTTTATTTTCACTTCTCAAGCATAAAATACATCAAAATTCAACTGTGTGGTATTCATTTAAATTATTTCAAATTATGGTGATTCCTTAGCCCAGGTACAGAAATATATAGAAAGGTAAGAAGTTTGAAAGTCTCACAGTTTTAGATTGGCTAAAATTTATAAAAATCTTCAACAGAATATGATATGAAGGAACTACATTTTCAGACACCTACCCTGAGCTCCATCAAGTCAGGCAGTGTATAATGTATCAAGCTAGGTTATCTATAGTATGTAATTACTTGGCATTCTAATGAACATAGGAGCCTAGAGAGCTGACACTGCATTTCATGATCTCAGAGCACTGGTCAATGTTCTTCTTTATCCTGTAGAATGTTTCCACATACTCAGAACGGCCCAGAAGTTCAACAAAATCTTCATCGTGAGTTATCACCAGAAGCTGAAAGTTGCGTTGGTGTAAGCGGCTCTTTATTATCCTACAATTTTACAGATAATTTAACAGATATTAGTGACTGTGCATTTACCTAAGTCCCATGCTAGCATCAGAGAATTTGCAAATAAATAGCACAAAGATATTTCATTACTGATAATGAATGACATGAACCATTGAGTAATCTGATTACTGACTCTTTTTACCCACATTGAAAAAGCCCTCAAATTACATAAGAAATACCATTTTTTTTTCCAAGATAGAGAGGGAATCTAAAATGTGCCAGCTTAAGGTATAATTCACTACTGCCAAATGGGTATTGAAAAATACCCATTGTTAAGCACCACAAGGAGAGCTCACTTACTCCACCAGGGCATGTGCCAGGGACTCGATGTTTTCTCGGTCAAGGTTGGTTGTGGGCTCGTCCAGAGCCAGAATGCCACAGTTGAGACAGAATGTTTCTGCTAGAGCAAGACGAATGATTAGAGAAGCAAGCACCTGAGGGAAAGGAAAAAACACAAAAAAAAATCAAGATTCGAACTGTTTAAAGAGGATCTGCACATAAAAACCTGTTTTTAATGCCATTACAAATCATGATGGAAGTTCACAGAACAATGTGCTGACATTTCACAAAATGACAGTAACTAATTACTGAAAAACTACATTGAAACTTCTACTTTGAATTCAAAGATTGACTCTACAAAGAAGCGCTCAAAATTCAGGAGACAGTGGAAGCAAGGATTCTAATCTGAGGTAAAGATGCTGACACTGCCATTCGCATTACTGCTACACTCTGTCCCACTTCAGCAGGTGGAAATTTGTCTGCATATTACTACATGTTTGAGGTACTGAACTCCTGACTTCTTACTCAAATGGAAGACAGTAGGATTTACCACCTTCTCTGTTAGTTTTTCATCAACATGCATAGTCATATTTACAAGATCCTCTGAACTACTAAAAATTATAGAACACACAATGGAAACTGCTGTCAAAAATATTTTCCAATTATCATGACTGCTGGCATTTCGTGATTAAAGAAGAATTCTCAGAATTTCAGCTAAGGAACTTGTTCAAGTTTCACTCTCATTTACATAGGACTCTAACGCAACATCCTTAACTACTCTAGGAGAGGACACATTTAATAGAACAGACAGGTGGAAACAACCCTCAGCATGTTGTGAGTGTGATTAACTGTGATCAACCTCTGCCCACAGGTATTGTCACAGCTGGTGTGTCATCAGGCCACTTGGCCAGCGTGTGTTACTGAAGCTGAATGGGCAGATCACATTGCTGCAAGCTGACAGCACAGGAGGAAATGCGAAGTACAGCTAGGTGTGATATTGGTGACATGAACTGAAAGGTTATAGTCAGCAGCAGGTGAAAGCAGCAAAACTTGGAGGAAGAGAGAGAGGTCCTATCAACTTAGAAGTAGATGCAGTGGCAAAAAGACCAAGGGCTCAGAAAGAAAAAAAAAAAGGGAAGCAAATCAATAGAGCTGCAGTTGAGGTAACCTCAGTGATAACTAGAAAGAGACAAAATGGGAGGGAGGACCTGAACTTGAGGATAGAGGGAAGTCAAACCCTTCACTCCTGCAAGGCATAAGCCTAGTGCCCAAAGCAGGGTTCAGATGTTGAGTCCTATATTGTGTAACATGCAGACAGAGCGAAGAGAAGTTGTACTCAATAATAAATCAGAGTTGGAGCTGCCTGTTCTTTGGTCACTTGAGTCCGCTGCATTCACTTGAGTCAGTTTTCAGAATCCCTGTTATTGTGTGCTGAAGATAAAGAGCCATTACCTTTTGCCCAGCACTACATCTTCCTCGCATATCCAGTGCTGTATCTCCCTTCACCATTACTACCCTGTAATTGTAATTTCTTCTTTTGTCAGTGGCTGAGACATTTTCATCTGCGTCAGAGCGAATTTCTATATATTCAATATCTGAAAATGGAAAGAAGATAGTTCAAACATTATCAAAATTCTTGAAAAATATCATAGGATTTGTGGGAGATGAGACATATAATATGCAGTAACAATAAAAATTCCATTCAGAACTCCCACTGATAGATCCATCTTGGAAACTGACTTTTCCAAATTGGAAGGAATGAACTCATGCACAGTCCTGTGTCAAAGAAACCTAACCTTTGGAAAACACAGAAAAGTGAAAATTAACTCTACTTATGCTGCAAGTTACTATATAATGTGCAATACAAAGATTATAGTGCTGAAGAACAGATCGAGCCTTTAGAATGGAACAAGATATTTCCCATCTTTCAAACAAACACTCTTCCATATGCAGTGCTCAATATCAAATGGATACATATGGGTAGAATTTAAAAAAATTATTACATACCTTGTCCTCTGTAAATGCTTCGCCACAGGTCCCGAATTATTTTGTTAATTTCTTCCATTTTCATGCTATGAAATGTCATTATTGCTCTAAAAAATAGCAAAAAATGTAAACTGTTAGAGATGCAACCATGGACTGCTATGGACTATTAGGGACTTTAAGGCAGGTGGCAGCTCCCTTTCCATTCCTGTAATACTTTTACTAAAAATATAGAAAATACTAGTTTATTTTGGACAGAGAAGTATCTAAAGAGTAACAAAATGCCACTACATAAATAATTCTATGCTCACAGACAGCTCAGTTTTAAGAAGCAGGAAAGTAATGACAACAAATATATTTGCAGTCACTCAATGGAGAATGACTTTACCTGAGTTTTTAAGAGATTTATGATTTATGTGTGAGGTTTATTTTCAGCCTGACACCAAGAAGATAAATCTGATGTTAAGCTTTCAAGAACAAGAGTGTTACTTTCTGGCACAGTCTGCCAACAGGGCAAACAACAGCAGGAAAGGAGAACCTGAAGTCTCCTCAGAGCACAGAATTCTTATTGAGAATATAATTTGTAGTTACCCAAATAGGCATTATCACAAGACCTATTTTGCTGTTCAGCAGCAAGAGTAACACAGGATATCACTAATAATTTTTAATTCCATTTCTCTGGTTAACATAGTAGCATGACTTTAATTCATTAACAGATGAAATCTTACAAAACACTCAGAGAAGGACATTTCTAACTTGGCTTTTTACAGAAAAGCTACTCTATAATGAAAAAAATGCTCACTTTATGGCAATGTCTTCTTTCAAAAAATGTGGTGGAAATAGAATATCCTTCTGAATGGACTTTTACATATGCTTTTTCTACCTTTGCTCTTCCACCTGTTCTGGGGAATACTGAGGCATCAACCCTAATAGGTTTCGTTAAGCAAAAATGAAGTGTTTTCAACTATTTACTTAACCCCAAGAATGCATTCCTCATCACTATTTATCATAAATCTCTAAACAGAGTCAATAAAGATCATCTGATAACATGGAACACCCAAAATGTTAGTCTTCCCAGCTGCAGATATAGCTTTGGCCATTAGAGTTAACATTTTGTCTCACTGATTTTTCAGATGATTACCGCTAAGTGACGCTTATCTATTTTTCTTGAAATTACAAGACTGTTTTCCTGTTTAGCCTTAAATAGAAACAATAGATGATTTGATACCATACAAAAAAATTCTAAAAAGGAAGTTCTTGGAGTGCATTTCCATTACAACTGAAAGGGAAGACTTATACACACTCTGAACAACTTAGACCTTCACACAATAAATTTTGGATTAGCTTACATTCTAATATTATGTTTATTTAATGCTATTATCAAAACACCTTAGAACTGGGCTCCTCTAAAACGTCCTTTCAACTTGGAAAGTTCTCATTTATTTTGTTTCTCTTCTTGACCATTATGCTGTATCCTCAACCACATAATTACTTTTCTGTGCTCCTTTTTCTAGCACTAGTAAACCCTTCTAAATAGAAGCCCAAAATTCCATACTTTATTCAAGACACGTGTGTATTGAGAATTGGCCAAAATGTTTCTTCCTCTTTTTTTTATTCTTAATATTTATCTTTCTGCCACTGAGCACCAGTTTTCTATTTCCTGAAATGTATCCACTGATTCCAAAATCCTCTCCCACTGTCCATCCAGTTGTTCACTGCTATTCTATCATTATAACCAAACAAATAGGGTTTTTAGGGAACCACATGTTTTATTTTGTATATGGTTATCAATTTTGAGATGCAATTTTTGCCCAGTCAGTGCAAGACTAGCAAACAAGCTTCCAGAGGAAACAGAAACAAGAACAAACTTGCAACACTTTCCATCAAATGCCAGACCTGGTTCTTAAGATCTTACTTTCTTTAATAAAAGCATTAAACCAAATGGAAGTAGAAGGGCTCAGGTTAAAAATAAAGGATTTAAACATCAATTTCACCTGTCCTTATCTCTCTCCCATTGCTACACTGCAAATTTAAGTCCTAACATGTACAACCAAAACTCCAAGTAAGTCTTTCAGAGAATTGGGAATACAAATATCAGATTTATCTATGACTGTATTAAATTCCAATTATTACCATCAATGCATTTAATATATGTACATTATAGACATTAACTTACAAATTTCCTACATCACACCAATCAATCCTTTGCAATTTCCAGTATAGTTTCATTACTTAGGAAGTTATGCCTTGTTATGCTTTCTTAATATTTAAATGCCAGAATTTATAAAGAGAAATTATATATCTCAAGGAATCATATCAATTTACTCTAAGTTAACCTGGAAGCCTGAAACTGAAAGCTGCTTTTAAATCAAGGTTATCAATACTAATAAAGATAAAAATATTTAAGAATCACCCTCATTTGACAATACTTACTTATCAAGAGCCTTGTAATAAAGGTCCAGATCTTTGTTCACCAGCTCTGTTGTTCTCATGACAATCATCATGTCCCTGTATTTTTCTTCTGCATCTTTGAATTGTGGCTCTCTGAGCTCCTTTCTAAAGCGAACAATCTCCTCTTCAAACCCACGCTGGCGGCCAAGTGCAACATGATGGTTCCTTTTCAGAGATTCTATTTTCTCTTCCAAATGTTTTTGGTCACTGTGAAACCATAATTGATACACAAGTATTTTGCATTTATTTGTACTAGTGTTTCAGTTTTTTAATCAGGATTCTAATTTTGAGTTTATGTTAGACAACAGCTCATTGTATCATATCTATAAAGTCTGCCACAGTTAAAATTATAGTACTAATGCCACTGTAATGACAACATTATTGAAATAAAAATAGTTTTAAGTTTGTTAAGAACATATTCTAATCATTATTCTGAATGGGAGAAGAAAGTTGTCAAGTTCAAATGATAAAGTTCTATATATAGAAACAAAACAAAATTAATTTTATAGATGGATACTGAGCAAAATAAGATTTATTATTGCACAACTCTAGCATACTAAATAAATATCACACATTCAAGAACCAGCAAGGGGGTAATTACTTTTCAAAAGTATTTATTATCTAAGCAATTATTACTAAACTGCTGAAGTAAACATAAAATTTGCTGCTGGGAACTAAGTGAGCAGACTGAAAATAAAAACTAAATACTCTCATTCAGAAGCATGAATGAATTAAATGTGGATTTCTCAGTAAACATCATGAAGAGGACTGGACTGGGACAGGTATGAGCAGATATCTCTATTTCTAGCCTGAAGCACTGTATAATTTCACTGAGTCATTTTCAGTGTTGTCATAGGGATATGAAACAAACACAGGTGTGCAGGAGGAAGTGGTCTGCATGAATGGGGGGAAAAGAGGACCAGGACACACTAAAACACAGTGACTACAACATTCAGATGTTCAATGAATTCTTGTGCAAAGCACACCATTCTGTTTTGAAGGTGCTTACTTTTTCATCTGGGGGACTTTCATTTCTCCCATCTGCTTCATAAGTTGCTTTATATTGTCTTCAACTTCTTTTAGCTCTTCATTCCGCTTCCTCAAGGTGAGATTATCCTCCAACCACCTTTCCTGTATCTAGATCCAAAATAAGAAATTGTATAATGTTTCAGGTTGTTGGTTATCAATTACAATGTATCAGTTCTGCTCAACTCTGAAACACGCTGCAAGCATAAAATAATTGACAACAACAAAAATTATCACAGTGAGAATTTACCTTGTCCTAGAAATAGAACAAAATGGAAATCAGCAGTATTATTTCATCCTTCCATCTGCAACAACACTTAGCAGTGTTTACTGTCACAAGTGAACACTAGAGTGATTATTTTTGAGAATATTAATCCATATTTCAACCAGGACAATTAGTTTTAACTAAGGATGAGATTAAACCAAGCCCCCTAATCGCAGTTCTACAAGAGTAGACAGTAACTGAAGGGGTAGAATTGGGAAAAACATATTTCCTATAAGGAATACAAACAATATTTGAAACATATATACAGGAATTTAAAATACATGATAAATATTGAGTAGAAAGCAACTTTTGATACCTGCAGTTTGTACTTTAGTTATAAAGGCAGGTATCCTCCACATAAAGATACTCCTGAAAATGCTGACTACTATCCCACCAGACTTAACTCTTACAAATGCCTTTAGATCATTGTGAGAGATAAATGGGTTTTAAATTTGCACATACAAATCTCAGGATTATTTTCAGAATAATGCATGTATAGCAGCTATCCTGAATAACAACTGATCAAATAGATCAAGAGGAAGCTAATTTAACACCATTACAGACATAGGCAGACAAACCAAAACTAGGACTTATTTCAATTACATCAAGTATACTTTAAACAATATATCCACCTTTTGAGTGTCAATATCTTGTCGGGTCATTTCCATCTCTTTACTTATCTTTTCCTTCTGTTTCTCACAGGCAGCCAAACGAGAATTTACTTCATCAAGTTCAGACTCCTTTTGCTAAAGAAATATTAAGAAAAAGGGTATGATTTAAAACCAAAAGTACTTTCGATGCTAACTTTTTATTGACTGGTTTTTATATTACCTTTTTATATTCTTCTTTTCCTTGTTGAATATAGTTTTCAATTTCTTTCATGTACTTGTTTATATCTTTAATTTTCTCATTTATGCCATTCATCTGCAGAGAAAAGATTTCAAATGAAATACAGTCTTATGTCCAAGAAGAGATATGCTCTGTGTCAAAGATACTGGATAACACTACCGCCAAATACAAGTCCTTATTGTAACTCCCTTTAGCTTCCTAATAAAGTCTTCAGCTTCTAAAATCCCAGTACTTCTTATAAGCATGAAAATGTTTCCCAAAATGAATGAGGGCCACTTAACCTGGGAAGAACCAGTGTGTCTCTTGGCAAGGATGGGTGATGGTCATCCTTGTTCCTCTTGGGTCTATTAGGAAGGGCTTTTAAATGCCATCAACCACTAAATATCAAATGTCCCAAGAAGTCTTTTTTAAGACTGCCAAAAGTTAATTACAACTGAGTTTATGTCCTGACTGACATGTTCCTTTTCTTCCCTAAACAATTTATCAATCTAAAGCACCTCCTGGAGTCACTGATGTTTCCTAAAAGCAAACTCAGTACCACAGCTTCCATCCATGCCTGAAAAACAGTATCTAGTCCTATTTCACAGCTATGCCAAGAGGAAACAAACCTTCTCTTGTGTTTCTTTATTACTTGAGATCCTTTTATTCACTAGTTCTTCCTTCTCCTGCTGCAATTTCTCTAACGTTGAATGCAAAGGAAGTACCTGTTCTTTTGCTTCCTGAAAAGTAGTTGGAAAAAGCAGCTTTTATTTTTTCATTCTGGTAAGGATCAGTAATTTTTCAAGCAGTAAAAATGTAATGTGGTTACTCATTCTCTATTGTGTGTATTAAAAAAAGGAAATGTGAAAATACCTATTTAAAAAGTTCTGGAAATTCCCAAAGACACACAACAGCAGCACAGGACAAACATTTAAAAGTCCATCCCATTATCTAGTACTAGAGACAATATAAAGTATGACAAGATTATTATTTTTTATTTCAAGGCCAGCAAAGCTAAGCATTAGACAATTAAAGAGAAATTCTCACCTTGATCTCTCTGCATAAGGACTGAACCTCAGTGGTTAACTCCACAGTCTGCTCCTCCAGCTGCCGGCGCCGCTGCATGCGGCTGACAATCTGCAGCTTCTCTGCTTTGAGTTCATTAACTGAACTCTTCAACTGCTGAATCTGGCTCTGCTGGTCCTGCTTGAGTTTTTGATTTAACTCAATTTTACCAGTAACTGCAGATGAAAACAGAGTCAATCTGTATTAAAACCATTATTGTAATCCTTAGAGATGAAAATTCATCTCTAAATTAAGCTGGTATGACTCCAAAAATCAGCAACAATGAACTAGGAGAATAGAGTTATTTGAGAACATAAAATAAGTAAACTAAAATTTTAATGGCAAGAATTTTGGAACATTACTTTTAGTATAAAAATTAAATAACAGGTTTGTAGGACCTACCCGTATCCCACAAGTGTTTCTTCTCTTGTTTTTCTTGGCTTACTTGGAGCACAGTCCTACTTAAATCGACACCTAACAGCTTAGCCTCCTGCTGAGCAATTTTTCGTTCAACATCCCTAATGTCAGTCTGAAAGTATGAGGAAAAGTACCATTACTACTGTATTAGTGATTAAAAATGTATTTTTTCACCTTTGTCACCTAAGAACAAGATCAGGGCTTGAGGAACAAGAGCTTCAAATTTACCTTCTCTTGTAGAGTAATGTCACATCATTAGCAGTAGGGTTATGTCAGCTGCTAGGAACTGGAATTCCTAATTATGGGTGCAATCAGTCAATAAGGATGCACAGGCCTTTAAGATCCCCAGCCCACTTCAGGGCAGTTCCATGTGCAATCTGTCCCTGCAACACTGGAATTGTTGGAGCCTCAGGAGCTGCTGACATCTCCACCTTGTGAAATGCTCTCAGTCCTTTGCCTGGCCCCAGGTTCCCTAATTGCTCCTCTGAAGGTTCTCAGTCAAGCGAAGACATTATGTTGGTAATAAAGGCATGAAGACTGCTCAAAACAGTCTCCTACACCAGAATAATTAAAAGTGCAGGATTCCTCTTTCCCTTTACCATATATTCAGATGGCACAGAACCAGGAAACACATGTGAGATGCTGGGAGTGCGATGACCTATCATTACTATGAGGACCAAAACCACTTTGGTGTACCTGTGGTTGTGCTCAGTTCTAGATTACACCTTTTTTCAGTTCATATAGCACAGAATTGAATCAGAACTCAAGGGACTCTGTGGTCCTCAAAAAAAAAACAACTTCTGTAAATTGAAGTTTTATTAGTACAAGATCACTAATGTTATAATGTCTTTGGAAGTATTTTAAATAAGGACCTCAAAGTTGTGTCATATTACTGAGTAACCACATATTTAAATGCAAGTGAATATAATTCTATATATTAAAAAAAGTTACCAAAGCATACCTGATACCTTTCCATCAGACTTATATCCTGTAAACATGCTTTGGCACCTTCTTCCTCAGACAAAGCTGTCTGGAGGAGTGATTCCTGTTCTTCTATCTCACCCTTCAGGCCTGTTAAATCTCTGTTTGCATTCTGGATCTTGCTCCTCAGGTCTGGAATTTCCTTATCTTGGAGCTCAATTACAGTTTGCCTTAAATAAAAGATAAATGCCTAAAATTTCCTTGGTCAGAAACAGCAGCATAAATTGAAGACGTTCAAGATCACAAAAACTGTGATACGATTTAGTAGGGGAAGACTAAATTTATCTAAAATAGTATCACCTTAACCTTGCTCACACTTACATAAGCTTATGTTACAGATCCAGCTAAGAGAATATATCCCTCATTTTAGGTGAGATTACACAAACAAGCAAACAAAATCTCTTTTGGTTTTTAACTTCATTACAGGAAGTTAAGGAGAAGGTACACAGCATTAAACAAGAGTGCCCTCTTGTGAAGGAAAGCTCTACGCTCATATTCTCAAGTTCTCCCAAAATATTTATCCTGACAACGACATTTTGAAATTAATTAACCAGCCCTAAAATGAAACTTCCTTGATGTCCTCATGGTTTTTTATAATCAAACCCCACACATTAGAAAGAAAACAGCCTGTAACCAGATGGTTTGCTAAGTACTTTACCGCAGTGGTTTAAGACTCATCATTTCATCACGTTTTTTCTCTTTTCTTTTAAGCTCAGACTCTGTTGACTTCAGTTTGTCTGGGGCAAGGCGCAGTTTAGACTGCAGATCACTAATGACATCTTGCAGTTCAGCTTCTGTCTGAAAAGCTCTTTGGCAAACTGGACAACAAGACTGGTTCTCCTCTGTCAGTTGTGTAATGAACTGTGAATAGATTGCAGTGGCTCCAGCAAGCACAGCTGGGTGAAAAACAAACAGAAGACTCATGTTGAACAAACAGTGCATAATCAGCTAAATTAGTATATCAGGGAAAAAAGTAAAGCTATATATGACTTTACCTCGCTGTTTGGAATTTTTTTCGATTTCATCTTGAAGTTTGTTCAGGTCACTGTCAAAATCTTGACTTCCACAGACATCAAAAAGTTTTGCTTCGTGAAAGGACAACTGGGCTTCTTTTTTTTTTAGCTCATTACTGGCATAAGTTTTATCATATTCTACTGATGCCAGTCGCTTGCTGAAATATTAATGCAGAAACATTTTTATTACCCAAACGCAAAGATTTAGACTGTTTAAGCAAAACAAAAAACCATGGAAAGGTAATCTGAAATTGGAATTACATTGGAACTATTCACCTGTTCTTTACTGATTCTCAGGAAATCTATAGCATGAACTTTTTATTCATCCAAGTACAGCATAAGTGTTTCATTTTAAATCCCTTTTGTTTTCTAGATAATTACTGATGATAAACTTCCTACTCTAACTAATTGTTTTACATAATCAAATGAAACCAGGAACAGGTAATCACACATGAATTTGGGATATAGTCACTAACCACTTTTGTAAGAAAATCAGAAGACCAGCAATTTCCAGCCCCAGGCACATCCATTCAGCTAGAATTAGTACAAACAACTAAGGATGTTTCAGATCACTATTTTGCTACCTGCTTTTAGTGCTGCCTTTGTCACACTACAAATATTGTGATTTTATTAACTAGCACAAACTGTATTAACTCTGTATCACAGGAACTCTGCAGGATATTTTCTCTGATTTTGCTGATACCTAAATAAACACTAATGAATTAAAGTAAGAAGTATTTTGAATATATTAAACTCTCCAACATTTAAATTTGTAATTACATAAAAAATTGTGGAGAAATAATTGTTTAAATTAATACCTACTTCAGATTAGCAAGAGCATCTCTTGTCTGATTAATCTTTTTATTTTTGCCATGAAGCCAGTCCTCAAGTTGTTTTTTATTGGGAAAGTATCCCAGCAATGATGTTAGTTCGTCCGAATGTCTTGACTTTACTTTTCTAATCTGATCTTCTTTCTCTGCCTGGGGAAATAAAGCATTTCAAATGAAATTTTCCTATCTTCAGGTTTATAACCATCAATGCATTTATTAAGCTAATAGCTTCTATGAAGTCAGACAGAAGCTCTACATCTGATTGTTGATAAACACCTGAAAAACACACAAATATTGGAGGGACTCTGTAAGCTTCATGTCCCTCTCTTATGAGATATTGATAAAAACATTACTTTGTCTTTCCTCAGCATCTCCATCTGGGTAATTGTTGTGGTGTGTAGATTCAACTGCTCCATCTCTTGATCCAACTTCCTAAGAGCTTTGTCCAGGTTTATTTTCTCACTTTGCAGAGTCTGTACTTCCTGTTCCAGTGTTTCTATATTGCTGCTCCTCTCAGCCTTCTCCAGCTCATATTCCTATACAAAAAATAAAAGCCCAGAAGACACTTTAATAATTACAAAAATCAATAAAGTTCTAGCTAAAGGAAACAGATTAAACCTCTTCAGCTGCCTGCCAGCAGCATCAGTTGCTGTTACAGGAATGACACAAGATTTGTAAATAATACATGCAAAAGGACAAAGGCTGTGACATTGGTGTGGGGCAAGGAAAGCCCCAAGCAGATACTGGATGCAGTCCTGGAATGCAGTACTACCTCAACATGGTCATGCTTTTAGCAGAAGCTCACTCATACTTAGTTTGATTTTCTGTATTTTAGTGTCTACTGTATATTAAATTTTGGAATTACCCTAGTGAGGAGGTTATAAAAAACACTGTCAAGCAGAATTCATCTACTGCTAACAAACAAAGTATTTGGCTACAAAGGCATAAGCAGCTGTTCAGCTGGAACATAAAACACTTGTAACTTTACTTCATCAGATCAAACACTTATAATCAACTAGTCCAGGCAAGTTATCTCCAAAAATGTAGGTAGCATGGAACTTTCAATTCAAAGTTTCTGGCCCAATAATTTGAGAGTAACAAATCTCCTAACTGCCAGCTGTGCTATTACCCCGTTTACAACTCACCTAGCAAAAGCAGCATATTCTATGTGTGGCCTGTACAAAAACAAGGTAGTGAACAGACCCTGTCCTAAAGGGATGCACTATCTGAACAGACAAAGCATAGAGGGTATCAAAAGGGCAGAAACACATCTGAAAGAGTAAATATCAAGGGGGTGGAATGGTTTATGGGTTTTGGTATATTTTTGTAATGATAAAGTCACAAGTTTTTATTTCAAGCTTCTATAATTTTTTCAATTACACACAAACTTACCATCTTGCCAATCTCCTCATCCAACTCACTAATCCTGTCTGAAAACCCCTCCAACTGCTGCAATTCACATTTTACATTCTTCAGCTCTGCTTGCTTCTTATCTTGAATGTCTGATTTCAGGTCAATGGTTCTTTCTAATCCAGTTTTCTTGTCTCTTATTTCATCTATCTGTTTTTGCTTCATTGCTTCTTTCTGTGCAAATTCTCTCTGAAAGAAGATCAACAATAATAGTCATTATTTTTTCACAGGAAAATTTTTTAAAATACTTTTTCTCACTAGTGTGCCAATATTCACCACAGTAAGACACTGAAATACTGAGAAAACTACAACTTGTCCAAAATTATCTGCTGAAATGTTTTTAATACAAAAATGCAAATGCATTATACCAGTAACATTTTGTGACAGCAACTCCATTTTGAACATGACTTCAACGAACAGTTGTTTATTTTTAAACCAGCCACCCACAGTAATTCTTCCTCAGGTTTCTGAGCTTATCAGTGATCCACCTGGATGAGGACTGCTAGAAGAATCTGACAAACTCCTGTTCAATAGCCTTGATGACCACTCCTAATTCCAAAACTCATTTCCATGGAAAGATGCAGATGACACATAAGCAAGTATTCTAGAAAAAAATCAGCTTCAGTTACCCCCCACCAACGCTTTATCCCAGCACCATAAAGACCCATATGAACCAATGAAACACTAATGGCCCATAGAACTTACTCTACTTATCAACAAAATTCTTACCATCATACGATTTGCAGCTTCTGTATCTCTCTCCTGCCTGTCCCTGCAGTTGAAGACGACCTCCACAAAAAGAAAAAGAGACATAAATGTTCAAAAACTGAGGCAGAAGACATGCTTAGGATTCAAAATCAGTTAAAAGCCTTTGAAATCTTGAAGTATTTTTCAACAACACAAAAAGTTATGGAATAAAAACAAGCTGTAGGTAGAGATTGCTATTTCAGGTAACTAATTTTTTATTAAATAAATCAGTAATGCAAAAGCAAACCCCTAAAATCACTAAAAATATTATTCTGATAAAAAAAAACAAAGCCTGAACATATTTTATATAAACATATATTCTGTGACTCAACTACTATAGCTTTGCTGAAATTCCCATAATCCGTCAAGGACTGTGTATCCAAAAAGGATACACTAATACTTGCAAGACTCTCACACCTCACTGTGCAGCTGAACCTAAACTAATACACATTTTAGAAATTTTGTCCAATTCAGATCACTTCAATTATCAGTAGGTCCATTTCAGATCTTGATTACGTTAGAAAACATACAGGACTATAAATGAAGTCTAGAATACCTTGTTCAATAAGCAGCTCTGATTTCTCACTGTTAAACCTCTGGCACTCTTTAGTGGCTCTATCTAAATCACGCTTACAGTCCAACAACCTCTTCTCCTTCTCCTTCACTGTTCTCTGATGGTTCTGGTGTCTATCCCTTAGTTGCTCATCTGTTCCTTGAAAAACCTGTGCATCACATACAAATTTGTAAGTCAATTATAGATGTTTTAAAAATGTATAGTTTTAACCACAACAGAATTAAAGGAATTAAAACCCCACATGCAGAATTTCTATAATAAGACATATGGGGGAAAATCTGCAGCAAACAAAACTGGAAAAGTGTTTTTCTTAGATAGATAAAATAAAATAATCAAAGGTTTTTGTCATAAAGGCAACCTTTTCCATCTTCTGTTGCAAATCTTGATTATCTTTTTCCATCTGCCGCTTCCTGCTCTCAAGGGCCTTCACATCATTGTCCAACCTCATTACTTTTGTGAGATTCTGTTCAACTAATGCCAGAGAGCTCTGCAAAAGTATGTGGTAAGTAAAACATCTCATCAGTTCATGAACCCCATAATCAATTATTTCAAGTAAAAACCTCCAGTTTCACTAAATATGTTTTTAAAATAGGGAACATTAAGTTCTAGTTAATGCTTAAAATGCATTAACTAATGCTTAAAATGTTTTTAGATGCTTAAAAATGGTTTTAAATAGCTCAGAATGGTTTTAGGTATCAGCTAAATTTGAGAGAGATATTAAATTGACAAAAACCCAAACTAAATGAATTCTGTTCTTAACCCTTCAATGACTGTTTACAGATTAGAGCAGCATCTGCCAGGTGAGTTGAGGTATGCTTCATTCTGCTGCAGGGCAAATGATTAGATACAAAAGTGCAAGATTTTAACCAAGAAATTCATCCAACTTTCACTTCTTTTACTGTTTTGTATTAAAATATTAACATAATCCTCATGGAAATTACCTTTAGAGGCTCAAGCTGATTCTCAATTGATATTACATTCTCCTTAGAAGCAGCCAGTTGAGCCTCTCTGTTGCTGAGATGATCCTGGATTTCCCGTGCTTTCTCTTTATTCTGTTTTAGATATTTCAGTTCTGTCTGACACTCTTTTACTTTCAAGCTTTGTTTCAGTCGTACCTGACGCAGAGCTTCGAGTGCTTTGATATACCTTCAATAAAAGCAAAATTTCAGCTGCTTTGGCAATACAGCAATACTGATGTATGAAACATTGTCTTAGACATTTTTATTAACATTTCTGTTATGAGAAGACATTTTTTACTTAGTTTTTATTTAATTACAATAAAGGGAAAAACCTTGTTGCTGAAAAGATCTCATCAAATTTTTGCTTCAGGGCCTTCCCTTCACTTAACGGCCAGTTGGATTCTTCTTGGTGACAGAAAATGACATTGTTAAGCACAGACTTGGAAACACCAAGGGCACTGATCATCTCCCGATCTATTTCAGCACACTTGGAACTCAGACTGACCTTCTCACCATGCCTATGGAGATAAAGAAAATCCCCAAAGAAGTTACTGGCAAGTCCTTCAAAAAGCAAACTGCCTTTTCACAGTATAACCTCATTTTAACATATCCATTCCAAAATTTAACAATTAACAATTTTTAAGTAAAAAATTACCATTCTTAACAGAGGCATTTAACACTACCAATTTTTGAAGTCAGGCTGTTTCACATATTAGAATCTGAGGAACCACCAGAGGGGGCAGGAGAGCTCGAGTTAAAGGAATATACTTAAGCAGTGGAGATGGGAGTTAACACGGGCCAAAACTTATCTGAAACTGAAAATAGTACTAAAGGAAGTAAAGCCTACACACTTCACACAATGACACTTTCAAACTGTATCCTAAAATCACGGAATCATGGAATGATTTAGGTTGAAAATGCTCATCTCATTCCCTCTGACATGAGCAAGGATGCTACTCACAGAACCAGGTTGCTCCAATCACCATCCATCCTGGATGGAAGCCTCGAACACTTCCAGAAATGGGGAAGCCACAGCTTCTCTGGACAAACTGTGCCAGTGCCTCACCACCCTTATTACTAATAAAATTTTCAAATATGTGCAAGTTAACAGATATATGTATTCCTTAACACCATGGCTATCAGATGTGGTATTTTTCAATCATGTAACAGATAAAGTAATGCAACTACATACCTTTATAATCTAAAAGCACTACTAGCTAGGAATACATTATGTAATTTTCTCTTATCTGATGCATAAAAATATACCAAATTAAAACCTATCTTCATGCCAAAGTAAGAAGAAACACTTGACAACTTACTTTGTTCTAGTAATGACAGATTCCAGTGTTTTAAATTCTGGAGCCTTGCCTTTCTGGGTACAGACCATGGAGCGCTGGACAGCTACAAGCTCCCCATTGACATCTCGAAACTGTAACCTTATCTGAGCTCTAACATCAGTTTCATTTGCAACCTTTGGTAGAAGCAAAAAAAAACAGAATGAGGGAAATTCTTCTCAAGGTCCAATGAATTATGTGCCTCTCTAGCTGTGGGATATGTTCTAATCACCCCCAGCTCTCTGTTTTTCCTCATTTCAGCTAAAGGCTGTCTACAACTTGAGTATCCTTGTTTTACTCATAGCCTGAGTGCAGTGGAGTATTTTATCTAGAAGTAAACACACATCTAGTCACTACACCTTACCTTTGGATCATGAACAAATGTTTTTCCTTTGGTGCCTGGAGGAAAATCACCAGTGGATATGTACTTAAGACATTCAATGATAGTCTAAGAAAACAGAAGTATATAAAGACAAATTTAGAGTAACCAAGATGGAGTACAGGCAAATCCACAGTAACAGCCCAAACATTTACAAATGAGTAACATATGTAAAGAGACAGAAATAACATTTTAATTTTTGAGTACCATGAAAACATAGTACTTTACAAAAACAGTTTTAATCAGGATCTGGATCAATTTTCTATGAAAAAATACCAACCAGTGCTCTGCAAATTCCAGGCATGAAAGCAGATTTCTAATAACACTAAACAACACAATATTTCTAGCAAACAGCATGATTTTTCCAATATTAATACCTTTCTGTAGAAATTATTATTCACATGTTCTTCCAGGCCTTTCAGACCTCTTTACAGCTCAAATCCAAACATAAAGTGAGCCTTACCGTTTTTCCCGCACCATTTGGTCCCACCAAAATAGTTAATGGATTAAAGAAAGTGATAACTTGTTTGTCTTTATCTTCTACCCCAAAACTCCTCACTCCGAGGATACTCATTTTTTCAATCCTTGACATTTTTGCTGAACAACTTCTGTTCCAAAGTCAGAGGTGTAAACACAGTAAATCCTGTAAAACAGAGCTTTGTGAAAAATGCAGTAGGCAGAAATCACAATAGATTACTGAAAGCTGACTAAACACCTATACAAGCACAACATATGATGAATACATTTTAAAAAACAGCTTAGGTTCTTGTTACTGCTCAAGGTACAAAACATATGAAGGCAAAACCTTGTTTCAAACTGAGAAATGAAGCAACTCCAAGCTAAGTGCCATAGTATGTATCATGAAATCAAACACAATGGCCCCAAGTAACCTTTTATTCCACTTCACAAACACTATGCACGTGCCTTCAGAATGCCCCAAACACAAGAGAAGCCCGAGTATTTTTTCCTTTTGTATTTTTTCCCACTGTTGTATGGCAACACCCGACACTGTGCAAGCTTTGCCAGTGCCCGTTTCTCACAGGTTCCTCCAGCACCACCTTGTCCTAATCCCTGGTGTGAAGAGCCCTCCCACGCCATGAGGCAGGCACAGACCACTGGGAGCTGGGCACTGAAGGGGTCTGGGGGAGGCAACTCCGACCCCAAGGCCCCTCACCAACCCACTAAAAACACTCCTGTGTGGTGTGTGTGTGGTTGCGTACTCCGGGGGTGTTCCACGGGGCCCACGGCTCGGGCTCGGCCCTCCCACGGCTCCTGCGGGGGTGCCCTGCGGGGCTCGACCCGGGAAAGGGCATTTCCGACCGGGGAAGAGGTGCCAGCGGGACTTTCCCGCCCGAAGCTCCGCAGGGCGCCGGGGGCGGGCGTTTTCTGGGGAGATGCCCTGGGGCGGCCCCTCCCCTACCCGCCGCCCGAGAGTACCCGAGCTGAGCCCGCCGCGGTACCACGCCCCCGGCCCGGCAGNCGGGCCCCGCTCCGCCCCGGCCATGGCGGCTGCGCCCGCCCGGGCCGCCTCGGGTCGGGGGCAAGCGAGGGTGCTCTTGAGGCGCCTGTAGCGCGTGCGGTGTCGTCTGAGGGCTCAGAAAGGAGCGACGGAGTTTTGAGGCGGTACTGTGGTTTAAACCCAGCTGAAAATCACAAAATCACAGAACCTGCTGAGCTGGAAGGGACCCACGAGGGTCATCGAGTCCAGCTCCTGGCCCTGTGCACACCATTCCTGAGTCACACCATCTGCCCGAGAGCCTCGTCCAAACGCCTCTTCAGCACTGTCAGTGCTGTGACCACTTCCCTGGAGAGCCAGTTCAGTGCCCAACCACCCTCTCTCTGGGTGAAGAGCCTTTTCCTGATATCCAACCTAAACCTCTCCTGACAGAACTTCAGGCCATTCCCTCAAGTCCCATCGCTGGTCACCACAGAGAAAAGATTGGTCTGTTGCTGTACCCTGCTGCAAGATCTCCCCTCAGTCTCATCTAGGCTGAACAGACCAAATACCCTCAGCTGCTCCTCATACAGCTGCTTTTCCAGACCCTTCCCCATCCCCATTGTCCTCCCTTGGGCACTCTCTAGTAGCTTTAATATCTGTATTATACTGTTGTGATGAGGCACCACACAGCCACTGGCTGCCCCCCTCCAACTGCAGTGGAATGGGGAGAAGAATCAACTCTAAAACTTACAGGTTGAGGTAATAGCAGTCTAATAATAGAAAACATAGTAAAATACAATAATAATAATGGTAAGTAATAATTATGAAAACAAATAGGAAAAAAAACCAAATAACTGATGCCCAATAAAATTACTCACTGCCTGCTGACCAATGTCAAACCCTTTCTAGGTAACTCTCCCAGTTAATCTACTGGGCATAATGTTCCGTGGTGTGGAATATCCCTTTGGGCAGTTTGGGTCACCTGTCCTGGTTGTGGTCCTTCACTGTTTCTTTTCTGTACCTCCTAACTGGCAGACACAAGACACCAAAAATAAATCCTTGACTTAAGGTACAACAACTTAGAAAAAAATAAAACAGTGGTGTACTATCAGCATTATTCTCATTCTGAATCCAAAACACAACATTGTATCAAATACTGAGAAGAAATTAACTCCAACTCAGTTGAAACCAAGAAAGGCAGTTTTAGGGACTGCAGGAAAGTTCCAGATGATCCGGGGTAGGAAAGGGGATCACTCCCTTTGGCTGGTTAAGTTCATTTCTCTCTAGGGCCAACAGAGCTCCTTGCCCCCCTTGTACCAGTCTTCTACAACTTCCTCCTCTTTGCTCCCTATCCCCTATTCATTATCCAGTTAGAAGAAAGTCCAAGCCAGAGAACTGTCCCTTCCTCCTGCTTCTCTGGAGCTTTGTTATCCTACTCCTGAGGACCAAGAGTCCCTCCAGAACTAAACACAGGGTCAGGCTCCACATGCCATGCACACCCTTACCTTGACCCATCAGCCCCTGGACAGCTGGGAGCCATCTCAGGTTCACTGTATGAGTCAACAGCATTGGGAATCTAATTTATCTACACTTTCAGCCAACTCCAAAATCGATTAATAACTTGCCAGCATATTTTAGTGCTTACTGTATTTTCTCCACAAGAGAAACAACACAAGTAGTTCTTGTGTCAGATCAAGTTCATGATTAGGTAACAGAGACAAATTTTGGAAAACAGCCCTTTGTGCTCAATCTCTTAATCTGAATTAAAATGGGTAATAGAGATGATAGGTGAAGTCTGGACCTTATAAGAAGCTGGTAGACAGCAGGTGGTTTTGTGGCCAACAATTCAGGCTTTCACTGCAGTTGTACTCTGGTCATAATCCTGCATTTTATGAGTGCAAAACAGATTCACAAAACATAAGCTATGGCCACTTCAGATTTTGAGACAAGAAGAAATTAGTGTCCATATTGGCTGAACAGCCTGTAAAAATATTGCAAAAATTCACACCCATCTTTGAGAAGCCAGTACAACTCCTCTGGAGAGGAGACACCAGTTTATGCTCCATTTGTGTGTCACCTCGTGGCCTGAAGCTGCCTCGGTATGACTCAGTTGTTCAGCAGCACAATGCTTGCTCTATGGCAACACTTTTTTTGATTGCTTTTAGATGATCATACTCTGATTCTGTAGCCAGTCTCACCTCTGGAATATTCTGTAAAAGTTGATGATTAGGAGACAGTTTTTGGAACTGTTTCTGGTAGAGTTTTCTGCTTCACACACACTATTTCCCCACCAATATGAAATCTATTCTCTAAATAGTGTGTATGTTTATGCTGCTGTGGGATGGTTTAGTGGGAATTATTTCTTCACGTGTGATTGTTCTCCTTTGACCAGCACACTTAAAAGCTCCTCAAGAGTCTGTAAGTCTATGAATATGAGCGTGAACATGAAAGGCTGAGGAGCAGGAGGGGCAACCTCTTTCCTGCAACATTTATTGTCATGTCATCCCTTCTAGAAATCTGTCAATCTGTTTGGAACTTAGGTAGAAGATCAAAAGCAGTAACACACTTTTATCTTTTCACTCTGAACTACTATAAGAGCACTCAAATGCTGATTTCTGTGGAGGAATGGAAGTATATCTTATACTATCTATATTATTTCTGCATGCTCTTCTAAGACCCTGGCATTTTCATCTGGGGACCTCTTGTGTTTCTCTGGCTGTGTCATGACAACAGAATGTTTCATAAGTTTAATGTTAAAAGCTTTATGAGGAGCTTTTTCAGTTAGGATCAAAAGATCCTTTCAAGAAGGCTTTTTAAACTTATAGTTATGCTTTTCTTGCAGAATTTTAGGGCAATGATTTAAAAACAGTGTTTAAAAACTTAGTTAAGCAGTATTTTCAACAAAACTTAAACAGATCTACTCATTAAATTATGTATTGAGAAACTGATAATTCAATGTGTACAAGGTCTTTCTGGGCCTCTCAAGCTCTCAGGTAGCTATGGAAAACCAGATGACTCTTCTCACATCATTGAATGATTTGTCCAATTTTTCTGGAAAATTGTAACCTTTTAATGAGTGAGTGTTACCCTCTCATAAGCCCTTGCCAGTCATCTGAAAGTAGGTTTCAGTCATTTTTAAGCACTTTGGTTTTTTCAGTAGATAGAGTTTTTCCACTTACCTTAAGGGACAAGGTTTCCACCTGATGCCAGGACAGCTAATTCCGGCCATTAGCACCTGCCATGCTTTCACTGCTGGGCTGTCAGTGCAATCCATGCCTTTTCCATCTCTGTGTTCTATGCTGAATTTCCCCAAATAATGAGGGTGAGGGAAGAAGGGCAAAGAATGCAAACTGGTTAAGTAGCATTAGGGTCTGTGTATGTTTAAGAAGTTACTGGTATTTTTCATTCAGCCTCAAACTGCAGTTCATCTTAGAAAATCCCACTGAACAAAGGATGGCATATTACTGAGTGGGATGTAAAAACTACATAGCTTTACTCATCTCCATCTCTCTGATTATGTGATGCAAAAGAAAGAATAGAATTACATAAAGATCTGTGTTACAGAAGGAATGCTCCTATTTCCTGTGATGAGTTTTTGATATCATGTAAGAAAATGACATCTCTTATCCACAAAGGTATTTTCCCCTTACTTGATGTCAGAAGGAAGGAAACCCCCAACCAGTCCCCTGCGAGGCATCCCACAGTGCCTATGATAACGCACACTATGGTCTTCTGCCTTTTCCTATATGAGAAAACTTTCCCTTTCATCTAATATTCAAGGTATATATAGGCAGAGTATGGTGTATAAATCAAACACAGCTTTCCTTGAACCCAAAATGTCGTTGCTCTATATCTTTTTGGTGAGTTGCTGCTTACCTGGCTCAATGGGAGGTGCTGTAGAAGAATTTCAAGAAAACCTCAAGGCTCTAGTGGCTCTAGCAAACAAAGAGGTGGGTCATTATCACTTTTTCTTAATTTCCTACAGTTCTTTTGATGGAAATAGAGAATGAAGTCTGGGTTAGTTTCAGCTCTACTTTGTATGTCCTGTGTTTTGTTTGTTAAAGTTGAGATGCTCGAGGCACTGCATGTCAAGCTTTCCTCAGAAGCTGGTCTGTAATTGTTTCCCCAAAGGAAGTTCAGAAATAGAAAACCTGATGAAGATGATATGTAGTTCAAGATGTTTAACAATGTGGCAGTCACTTAGAGAAGAAATATCTTCTAACAGTATATTCTTGTTAATTTTTTTAGATCTTTCTTCCAGTACCCAAGGGGAAATTTCAGGTAAGACTTTCAAACTTCTTTATTTGCTGTTGTTGATTATTTGAAAAACGATGATGCTTTGTAGCAGATCTTGAGGGAAAGAGAGTTAGGCTACAAAAAAGACCAAATCCCACTAAAAGGGAATACATATGCTATTTTTTTCATGAGCAGTTCTGTAAAATTCAATGAAGCTGTGGAAATAAATAACCAGTTCTGTGACCATGGTCTCTGAGGTTTGGTTGTACTCCTGCTGAAGGCAATCTCAGGAGCTCTTGCAGAGAGATTACTTCTGAGGCTGTTCTCAGCATTACTGCCTGATGTGCAGAGCCTGAACATCACCTGCTGTCATTTAGAACCAAAGATGGGTGAATAGGATTAGTACTTGAAGCACTAAAATGTTCTTACCTCTTGGCAAACAAACAAGTTGAGTGTTATATAAAGTTTGTGTCTGAAGGAAGAAATTTGTTGGCACAAGAAGTTATTGCCCACAGCCCTGTTGATCAGTGGTTTCAGTTTGTGGTCTGCAGATTTCTCGAGTTCTGTGAACTGAACAAAGGTTCATGAAAAATAATTGCAAACAGCTAGCCTGTTGTTTTAGAGGAAAAAATGTTTAGAGCTTGCAGCTTTAAAGAAGGCTAGGATATAGATAGAGGGGTAAAGTGCTTCTGTTCTGTGTGCACAGATTCTTTATCAAATCCCAGAAAACATAGGAAAGTACCTCTTTCTGTATTTATACAGAATTTCTGATTCTGCTATGCATGCAAATAGTTATTGAATTCACTGAAAGATAAAAGTTAACTCATTTGGCAGAATATAATTTTGCTGTTATTTGATTTTTTTTTAGTGCAGTCATGTTCCCTGTCAACTTGAACGAACCATAGAAGGACTGAAAGTTTCCTTTAAGAATAATTCAGCAGGAACCCATATTTCTCTGATGGAGAAAAACATGGATCACATTACATCAACTTTAAAGAAAACACATATAGTAAGTTTCTCATTAATTATTTATAGTTATAGAATCATGGAATGGTTTGGGTTGGAAGAGGCCTTAAAGCTCATCTAGTTCCAACTCCCCTGGCTGGATTAGGAACACCCAAGGTAAAAATACGAAATTATGTGAATGTACCACTTACTTGTTTTCAAACCATGAGATTAATCATCTCAGCATCCTGGCTGACTAAAGTCAACAGCCATCTCTGCACACCCTTAGTTCCACAGTGTTGAACATTATGGCTGGAGCTCAGCAGTGGTTTTACAGGAACTACCTGAATTCATAGAGTCTGGATGGAAGTTAGAGTTTCCTAAAAGATGCATCACCTGTAGACAAATCCCGGGACTTGTCATTAGCCAGGACACTAGTCAGAGAAGGCCGTAAGCCACATCTCAGTAAGCAAGGTCAGCCAGGAAAAAGTATTCCCAATACTCAAATGTCTTTTCCCTGTTCATTCATGCAGATCGGTCTTTCCTTCTGATTAAGCATCCCCTTGAACAACCACCAACACTCTCTCAGCAATATGCTCTCCCTATTTCCTCCATTATTTGGATTATTCACTTTTGCTAATTTTTGCTATTATCATTACTGTAGCAACCAGAGAACACCATATCCTGTCTGATAAGGTACCTGCCTCGACAGAGAGCCCTGAACCACTTCACAAAATATTTCCAGAGCATGCATGAGAACTGCTGGGAGTCCTGATAACAGGTGTTGGCACCCCAAATACTTGGAGACAACTCTTACCCAACACTAGAGCTGATTCTGATGGAAGACAGACCACCACAAAGAGACACCACAAAGAGTTAACATGAATGTTTAATATATGAATTATTAACCTATTTATTTAATTTATAGAGAACCTTTATATTTTTACCCTAATGTTCAATGTAACCATGAATAAAATAACTTAAAATATTACATCAGTAATAATAATAATAACAATAATAATAACAATAATAATAATAATGATAATAATAATAATGATAATAATAATAATAATAAATTCTATGTAATATTGTATTGTGGAAGTTGTGCACTGTAATAACTAGAGTATGAGTCAAGGCTATATGAGTGAAATAAAAAATACACAGATTAAGATTCAGATACATTGGTGTGCTCTTCTGCAGGTACTTACAAAATTGTCAAATATTTACCATCTGAAGGCAGGAATTAAAAGGAGAGAAGGCTGTCGTTTAAATATATGCATAATTAAGTTTGAGAACAATGTGTTTACCTGTAATTCTACAACATAATTGCAGTGCAGTATACATGCATGATACATGTTCTTTATTTAATTAATATATTTAGTGTGTGAGCAGATCTTATTTATTTTAATATTACTCCAAATATATTTTCAACCGTGGTATCTTCAAATTTTGTAGTAGAGTCAGGAATTAGTGTTGTTGGCTCAGTGACAAGCCAAAACAAAACCCTGAGCAAGTCTCTGGGTTATTGCCATAGAAATATTGTGATAATTATCAAACAGATACAGTAGTGGTAGCAAAGTTTGTCTAATTTAGACTGGATATGTTTGTTTGGCTTTTCTTCTCAAGACTACCTAGAGATGTATTTTTTATGAAGTGAAGAATGTGATTATAAGTCACTTTTCCTAAATAAAATTACAACATTTTTCTAGAACCTGAAGTGTCAGAGGAAAACAACACTTTTGCTAGTGTATGGAAGCATTCCCTGAATTCCAAATGAAACACAGTTGATTCACTTAGCTGACTTTTGGGGCATGAAACAGTTTGAACACCTACCCATCTAGACATTGTGTAACATTTAAATGAAAAATACTTGGCATAGATGTATTTTTGTGAAGTTGTAGCTCATCTCTACTAAAATAAACAATAGGACTGAGCAATCGAGCATAGTTATGTCCAAGGAACAACCCAGTTTATAATGATTGTAGCAGATAGACAAGAGTTTACATGAAATGAAAGGGTGAACATCAGAGAGATTCCCATCTTGGTGACTGAGAAAAGCTAGGATGAATACAGACATTGGTATTAGCAGTGTAACAGTGGCTAATTCAATCAGTGTTGAAAATTATAATTCTCCAGAGCAAATAAAGAGAGCAGTAAAGAGGAAACCTGGAGAATGCTGTCCCACAAGACCATGCCTACACCATTAGTCACTGCTGGAGATTTATGAAGAGCAGACAAGAGCAAAATGATAAACTTTGAATGAGCAAACATGAGAAGGCACCTCTCTAAACAAGGCCCTTCTGACACAGCTCCCAAGGAATCAAAAATGCATCCAGAGAAACACAGGAATCTTGGAACCCTGTGTCACACAGAGGACATAATTTAAGTACTTCAAAATCAGCTCTTACAAGTAACTGTAAATGATGTACAGCTGCTAAAAATGAGGCAAGGCTGGGAAACATCATTTTTTCCTACTGTTTTATGTTTTCCAGCTTTCTGCATAAAGTTGAAAATAGAAGCATTTTACCACAAAGTTTGCAAAAGCTCTATAATCTTAATCAAAACAAACCCCTTTCAACCAGCCATAGCTGAGTGATTGTAATATTAACACAGGTCATGCTAAAGCACAGAGAAGTACTACTAAGTGCTTAAATGATCAGACTGGAGTTTAATTAATGAATTAAGCAGAAGACATCTCTGATTACAATTATGCAACTTTGCATAAGCTCAGTTCATACTTTAAGTGTATTCTTTCACTGTTCCTTCTTATTAACTTGCAGTGGGTCCATCCACACAGCAAAATCTCTTTTCTTTCCATTTTGTTCTTCTGGAAGTGTTTACTTCCTGCAATAGCACGGGTTAACAGAGTTTGAAGCACATGTAATTCTTGTCTCATACTCGGTGCTCTTCAGGAATAGCAGTGTCAGGATTATAAAACCATTTGGAATCCTTGGGAGCACTCTAAAGTAGCCTGAGTGGCAGAAATGGATTTTTAGCGTGCTGCCAACATGGTGTATTATCCATTTCCCATGCTGTTAACCTACTGAAAAGTCATTTCAAAGGAGAAAAGAAAGGTGGTCTTTCAAACCAGAGCCATCTAGGCACATGAAAAAGGATTTTAGGAGCCTTGGCAGGGAAAGGCTGCACAGACAAGAGCAGAGAAAGTTGCAAGATTGGCTATACAAACTTTAAAATTAACATGCAATATACACGATGCTGTTTACCCTGTGAGTGAAGAGGAAAAGCCTTTTAAGACCTTCATTTTCAGGATGTATAAGCAAAAAACCCACCCAAACTAGGCAGTCTGCTCTTGGGAAGATCTCATTGACTGCAGAGGGCACCTGGCACAGAGGCATGATCCTGCTGCAGGGTGTGATGCTGGGGGAACTGAAATCCAGTGCGTCGCTGTCACCATAAAAATCAGAAAACGAAGAAACAAAACATATAAGGACAAATATGCTGAGTGGTTTAGGCTGAAAAAATCATAATTACAGGTTTCTGAACTACTACAAGTTTCATTTTCTGAAATGGTGAGAGAAGCCAAAGGATTTTAGAAAACAGAAGAGATGCTAAAGCTGCTGGAAGGAAGTCCTGAGATCTGAAGCAATATGCATCCCACCATTGTTCTTCTGCTTTGGCACTTCAGGGAGATACATGACAATTGATTAGGGGTTTTTTTTAAATATTTCACTGTTCTGGCTACCATTCCACTGGCATTTCCCATGGTGCTTAAAAGCTTTCTAATACAGTCTGGGCCAGCCAGCAGTTGTGCCTTTGCTCCAGCCCAGGGCAGAGAGTGAGCAGCAGATGACATCCACATTTTGTCTGAGTCTTGACCAACAGTTCCCTCCCTTGTCTTTTCTCTTCTGTCTTTATGTTTTGCTATAGGAACCTATATTTTGCTTTAGCTCAGTCAACTGGTCTTAGAATAGGATCTGGCAGGTCCCCACTGACAGCAGTGTCCCGTGCTAAAAGGGAGCTGTGAAAAAACTGGCCAGATGTTGCACCTACTGTTTCCAGAAAGCAGTCACTCCCACAGACTGTCACAGAACTGTAAATAAAATCCCTTCCAACAGCCTATTTCCCAGGAAAAGGTTTTATTTAATGTAATTTAGATCAAAGCCAGTCTTCACTAAATTTCACAATTTCCCTGGCTTCTAACTGGCCTTTGAAGAATCAGTTTTAGGAGATGCTCCAGGAGCAGCACTATGGAGCAACACTACTTAGGGATGCAGAACTATGTCCAGGCATTTATCTTTGCTGTCCATTGTAGGAAGCAAAAATAGTGCTCACTGCAAGAGCATAATTTAAGTACTGTGCATGTGTACCTTGCTGTATCAGCCACCCCCACAAGGGGCATGTACTGCTGGAAGGCACAAAAAGCTAAATAATCATTCATTAAATATGGTGTATATAACTCCCTCCTAGTGACGTGCTTTTTGCACTCACCTGGGTTCTCTCCATTACTGCCTGTTACAAGTGAGAGTATCACTAAAGGTTAACACAGTTTCTACAACCTTAGGAGATTGGATGAGTTTGAGGATCAGATAATTTGTCAGGACAAGGGAAAACTCCATTTCAAATGGTTTGCTTTAAGCTAAGTTCCCAGCACAAAATATGGAAACATAACCATGTGAGAAATCATTCCAGAGCATCTCTGCAGGAGTTGTTCCCTTGTTTCCAGAAATTTCCATTTTCTTGCGCCTGGCAGGCTAAGGAGGCACAAGATGACTGCACCGTAGCTGTGCTGCATTTTGTACTCACACCAGTAAAGAAACTTTACCTAAACATTGTAACTTCACATGCATCTACATGAAAGAGCAAAGCCAGCTCCTACAAAGAGTTGCAGCTCAGTTCTTAGAAGGCATTCACTTAGTCCATCAATCTTAGGAAGGCACATACCTGCAGGAATCATCACCAGTTCTTGTCTCAAAGAAGCCCTTGCCTGGGATGATCCCAGCTGGCACCAGCAGCACCTTGCACAGCCTTTAAGATAACTTTGTTTGCACACTCAGTATCATCTGATTATTTTCTTAAATAATATTCCTAAACCAGCTCTAATGTGAACACTCCTCATACCCTGACTCCCACCAAAATGCCTTTTTCATTAGTATTAAAAGTCATTAAGTAATTGACTAATTAGATTATTTATTCATTTCCCTTTCACCCTCCTGATCATTCCAAATTGAAATAGACACACTTTGAACAAATCCAGCAGTGTGGATTTCCACTTGCTGTCTGTTACTCTAGTCTCCAGAGTTTCTTCTGAAATATTTTCTTTGCTTATTCTTATTCCTACTCTTACCAATTCTATTAGTGTTTGTGGTGCCTTCACTCTTCTCATGCTCCCAGATCAGAAAAATTCCAGAACTGTAAGTACCAGAGATTACAGTATTGAGGATCTGTTGCTTACATTACCCTATTTTTTTCTTACATCCTTCTTCAACTTTGTAACCCTGAATTCATGTTAAAAACAAAACCCCAGACCATCTGTACAATAATGGACCTCTTGGGAGATGGGACTATGATTTGTGTAGGGGCACTGAGACAGCTTAGAGAGAGCAAAAGGCACTTGAGTAGTCCTGTTACTCAAGGGAAAAAATGAAGGAAAAGAGAAAAAGGAAAAATCCCTGCATTGAAAAGTACAGTGATTATGGAATATGTCACAAGAAGAGAGAGTGGTAAAACAGCAAGCAGTGAAGGACCAATCTTGTTCCTCTGGAGCTGGGAATAGCTGAAAGACCAGCTCATGCTACTGTAATATCTAACAAAAATACCCATGAATTCTTCAGAACTGGGAATTATCTCCTGCAGACTAAGTTTATCAAGGGGAAAAGAACAGTCGTACAGGTCATACAAAGTTCTGAGACAGTGCTGGGATTCTGCAGAAGTGGCTGCAAACACCAAATGCAGGAGAGGAAAGAAAAGAAAAATCCCAAGACAAAATCTGTTGGCAGTTGTGCTGGCCAGGAATGGAATTGGAGAC